CCGGGCGAACGAAGCCAGTTTCTCTTTCCGGGAGAGCGAGGCCATTCTGCCATCAGCGTGTGCATCTTCACATGGATTTGCCTTTTCCCTGCCCTCTCCTCTCGCCTCTTTTCCCTGCCCTCTGCTTCCCCCCTCTTCCTCCCATCCATGGGTAGAGCTGGTCAGACGGCGCTCGACAATGAGATTGGCCATTGGCCGACGTTCGCAGACAGGCTGAATGCATATGTGCATTTGTCACATTTTGTGTCCCATCTCGCTTCTTTCGCTCTCGCTCTCTTTCTTTTCTTATCTATCGTGCCCGTCGGCATTTCAGAGCTCAGTTGGTTTAGACCGCGGCGCTTAAGGCGTACCAGACACGTCGCACACATGTGGGCTGATTGAGCACAGCGCAGGAAAAGACGGAAAGGATCCCCTGGCACAGTCGGCCGGTGCTTGCGCGACAAGCCTACGGACATTGTGCTATAACATCAGATCTTCCATATTTACGCGTTCTCTGTCTTATCTCTTGTATTTCTTCTTCTTCTTCTTAATCTATACGTGCGTCTTGTTCTGGATTCTGTATTCGACTACACGCGCATTTTTACAGTTTTCTCAATTATCCATATCTTGCACATTATCGTGAAGTTTGCAATGATCATGTGGGAGAGGATCCTTACCAGTGGAATTCCATCTTTCGCGAGTCTGCCACGCAGCCGTCCAGCACTACGAGCTGCTGTTGCCACTGCTACGGCGTATGAGTGCGCTGCGCTGTGCTGCTTCGTCCTGGGGATAAACGTTGTACAAGAGCACACGGTGGACACAATGGCTGACATGATTGCACGCACGATTACAGACCGCATGATATTTGCGATTTCGATATCTGAGAAGTTTGCCCTCTTCCAGAACCTGCAGACGTGCCTCGCAATTTCTCTGTCGTGGATTTTTCCCGTAAGCCAGAAGCACTACCGCAGACAACGCGTTCTTATCCCGCTCAGCACGTACATGTCGCACATATGTGGTCTACTGTGCATGATCATGTTCAATAAGCGCGCACGTGGGCATCCTCACACGAACGCTCCCATCATACGTACAACAATGTATTTTGGACCACGGGGATTATTCTAACAAGCTGGGATGCCGTTTGTTTTGTTTTCAACTCTGGGGTATTTTGCGCACGTATGTTCCCGAAGATGATGGCAGAGGGTTCAATTACATCAATTTTTCCCAACTGCACCGGACATGGCAAACGGGGGAAACCAAGATAGCCAGGAATTGCAAAAGCACAACAGCAGGCATGCATTGTGGGGCTTGTGCACGGTTTGTTGAACATAGGTATGCAGCTTGCTGGCCAGACCACCAACTTGCTTGTCAAAGACGGTACAGATATTGGCGTTCCTTCCCGTTGGAGAGCTTATATTTCGTAATTGTTGACGTGGGTGTTCACAACCCAGGCGTGCTATCCAAGGAACAGTACATCATCCACAAGCTACGTGCACCGACGCAGGTTTCGAAGGTTCGTTCTTCCCGCGCGCATCGTGCACCACACGCTCGTTGCATGTCTGGCACACGTCGTCGTAGACCATTCCCTGACTCCCGCAAGAAACAGGATCAGGAACCCTATGTAGAGAAGCACGTCGCCAACAACATCAACGATTTCCACATGAAGTTTCTGAATGGCACGGGGGCGCAACCCATTGGTAGGGACGATCTGGAATACTGGCAACGGTCATCTTTCAACCACTTGTACCGTATGTTCCTTCTCGCTGGCTCGCTCTCCCCCATCTACATGTACGAGTACCCTTTCCTTCTAGCTAAATGGATTGGTGGGAAAGGTGGTAAGTTGTTCGTTAAACTCCTTAGCAAATTTATGAATTTCCGCATCTACGTGTTCGTGCTATGGAGACTGTCCAGATGCTTGTTGTATGGTATTTATCGCGTCCGGTCCACCCGTCGGCTTCTATGGTGGATACGTGCTCTGCAGATCACGAACCACAGAGTGTTCCGCCTCAGTGTCTACAGAGTTCGTGGTGGGCCGACTGTGCGCGGCGTGAAGAACGCCTTGCGCAGATATCTCGCGGACAAGCCAGATGACTTTGCGAATTTTATCATGTCCCGAACGTATGTGTACAACGTATCGCCACCCACTTTCGCATCGAAGTACACATCGTACAGGAAGGCAGCGAAGCAGTTCGATCTTGACATGGTGTCCGACATGCATGCTGAGTATGTATCACATCTACGACATAGGCGTGACTGTCGTTTTGTGCAGCAGAATTGGAACGCACCTGTACACAAGTCACAACATGATCTACGCGCGCACATGTACACGCAGTTCTCCGGATGGTTGGCACATTGGTGGTTCCCTGTGGGGGATGCGTACGACTCCGTGGCTTTATCGTCCGCATGTGCACCCAGCCCTGGGTATGCATCCGTACCCCCTGCGTACACATGTTATACAAGCTCGTTCTATGTTGGTCTTCGGTATGTTGCGTGTGTAGTTGACCACAACACGAACGCGCGCATGGTACGGTCAATCGACGGGTATTCTGTACAACTGCATGACGCATTTCTCTGCGATCCTCAACATTGGAAGTACCATCACGGACAGGACAGAGAACCCTTTCTTCGCCGTGTGAAACAGTTGCACGATGAGTATGTCCCCCGAGGATGGCAACTCAGTAAGCATACGACATGGCGTTTTGAGTGGTTAGGGTACGTGTACGTGAATCCAAAACGTTCCTGTTACGGCGGCGACGCTGGAAATGGAGCGTTTTCTTGCACGCTTGACCACCAACACGACCGACAAGTCGCTGCAAAACCAGGATGCCCCTTGAAGAAGAAATCCCGATTGGCCGCCAAAGCCTTGCGTACTTTACAAAATTCGCAACATGGTTTTTCTTGGACTCTGTGGAGCATGCGTGACATCTGCCAGGTTGCCAACCAACGTTTTCGTGATCTACTGCCGTCTTCTGTACATGATGTGTGCGAGAACTGTGGAGCAGTGAAGCCAAGCGTGGTATCTGGGCGATGGGATGTGAATTCTTTCTTCCCCAATGCGGATCGAGCTGAGACCGTGCAGGCTGTCGAGGATCTGTGCAGCAGGGTGTCGCTGTGCACAGGGAAGTCAACAGTTACGATCCCTAAGAAAGGGGTGCGGAAACCATATCTTGGCGGGAACCTGAGGTATCACGCTGCAGATCACGATGTTCTGTCCTTCGACCAGATCATTGGCATGGCGAAGTTCGAAGTGCACAACAGTTTCTACCGTCTAGGGGCATACGTACTAGAGAGCGTATCTGGACTACCCACTGGTGGCTGTATGTCTGAACCAATGGCAGCAGTTCTCCTAGGATCCAGAGTGCACCGGCTCCATAGTGATCGTGATTTCCGTCGGTGGTGCGGGTTGGACAAACTAGGGTACGACGTGAACAACATTATGTCCGTAATCCTACATGTAGACGACATGGCGGTATGTTCCAAATGTTTGTGTCTTGGGTGCCTGGAGAGATCTTTGGAGAGAGCCATGCCTGATTCACTTGGGATATCTCGGGAAGAATTGGGGCCGCATTTCCGGATGTTGGACACACATTGGGATGTGCATGATACACATAGTGCCATATCGTACCACAATAAGAACAAAGAGTTCGCCATGGGTATTAGTAGTCGCCAAACTGTAGCTCGGATTTTACCTTGGTGGAAGAATAACATCACACCAAATATGGGTCTGTACACATATGCACAAGGTCGTATATCTCGTGTACAACATGTATCCACAGATACAAGTCAAGAAGTGCAGGCGTAGTGGGAGATGTGTGCGGAGTTCGTGCTCTTGTGGTACCCATTGCGTGTCGTCTACAATGCGCTTGCCCGTGTTCTTCCTTTGCGACAGACACCAGCACTTGTATTAATCCGGGATTTTCTGCGGAACGTGCAGAAAGAGATACGTGACTGACGCCTGATATTCATGAATCCTTATTTTTATTTTTAGTTTCACTTCGAACGAGGAGCTTGCCGACAGCTTCATCATCGTTATGTTTGTCCTCGTGTTCCACATTTCTCCCCATACTCTGTTTCCCCATCACATCTTGGCTCTACATATGTGACAGCACATCCTGTTCTTCACTGGGCCAGAAGCGAGACCCCGATTGTTCAGCCATGTCGTGGCAGCAGGGACAGAATTCGTGGCAGAATTCGTGGCAGAACGGCTGGGGCAACGGCAACCAGTACCAACAGCAGGCCCGTCTCCACTGGTCTGGCCTGACGACGGAAGAGCTCCGGGCAGCCAGAGAGGCCAAGAAGAACCAGGATATGGAGCAGACAGTGAGTAGGTGCATGTCCAAGCTCGTCCCGCAGCTCATGGAGATAATGAGCAGCAGCAGCGCTGCCGGGCCGGCTGGCAGCAGCGGCCCCCGCGGCGACTCGGGCGTTTTCACTGCGCCGACGCCGCTGCGCAACGAGGTGGACCCCGCCCTCGTAGACGCCGTGGCGGAGAGGCTCAGCAAGAGGAAGTCTGGGGCACCACCTGCGGCGCAGGCCCCAGCGCTGAAGCGCACGAAAGGCTCAGACGTCCGCGTGCCCAAGAAGACGACTGACACGGTGCACCCGGTCATTTTGCTGCACTGGCAGGCGAGTCTGGGCTGCGCCAGGCTGCCCAAGGCGAGCACCACGGACTCCGTCGTGGCAGCGGTCCTCCCGGACGGCGCGGCCGTCGCCAGGGCCGCCGAGAGCTTGAAGGCTAACGCGGCCCACCCGCTGGTGAAGCAGCTGGGCAAGAAGCCGCAGAAGGAAAACAAGCTCAGGGTCGCACTCATGCTCTGGGCCGAGGATGCCGTCGAGGCGTGCGGCAACGACGATGACGAGGACGCCGACAATGAGTAGGGACAGCGCGGTGGCGTCCTATCACAGATCGGAATCATCACTCGCAGACTTGGTATTTGTTCTTTGTACTGTGCTGTTTTGTACGCTGTATATTGTGTGGGAGCGATTGCGTGGGAACCAGTTTGGAATGTCGTGTCGGAGAGCAGCGTCCTCGCGCTGCTCACGGGCGGTGCCTTGGGGACTGATGCACGCCTGAACGCCTTCGACGTGGCTGTGGTTCTCGCGTTTGCCTACTGCACCCGCTGGCAGACTCCGTGGGCCGGGGCTGCCGGTTTGGCAACAGCGGCAACGATGTACTTGTCTCCATCGATGCCATTCTGGTTTCGCGCTCTGCTCTTCGGGCCGGGAGCTGAGAACCCGAGTCAGCACGCCATGCAGTTTCAGCCGTACATGCACAGTGCGCCTGGGCCACAGGCAGGCTTCGCGCAGCACGCCCCTTGGGTACAGCAGGGGTACCCGGTGTATGCGTGGCAGCAGAACCCGTATGCCACCATGCAGTGGCAGCCGCTGGGCTATGCTGCAGGCTTCCGAGATGATTTGCACGGCCGCTATCCGCGTCAGTGGCCGGGACACTGGAAGTGGGAGTGATTCTGAGACCGATCTGCGTTCGTGAGGCCGTCACCGTAGGATGACGCAACAGCATTGCAGGTGTGTGAATTTTCATGAATTCACGTTGTATCATGTTGTTATTCCCTGCTCCGTTTTCTCCCCCCTCGCCCCCTCTTGACTAGACGGAGACATGGCATCCCTTTGAAGAGGCTTCGGGGTGAATGAAGCCAGCCAGACCTTGTCCGGGAAGGAATGTGTGTGCAATTTGCTCTTCCTCTCCCTGCCTTTCCCTCTCCCCTCCTTTTCCCCCCCTCCCTGACCCAATCCCTAGCCGGAGGGATGGCACTTCTGTTGAGAGGGCTCAGGGCGTCATGAGCTGAGCAGGCTGTTTCATATATTGCTTTGTTGACACAGGTCCCACCAATCTTCTCTCGTGTGCGAGCGGTCTGACAGCATTCAACAGAGAAGGCTTCCGGGCGAACGAAGCCAGTTTCTCTCATGGCAGAGGCTTCCGGGAGAGCGAGGCCATTCTGCCATCAGCGTGTGCATCTTCACATGGATTTGCCTTTTCCCTGCCCTCTCCTCTCGCCTCTTTTCCCTGCCCTCTGCTTCCCCCCTCTTCCTCCCATCCATGGGTAGAGCTGGTCAGACGGCGCTCGACAATGAGATTGGCCGACGTTCGCAGACAGGCTGAATGCATATGTGCATTTGTCACATTTTGTGTCCCATCTCGCTTCTTTCGCTCTCGCTCTCTTTCTTTTCTTATCTATCGTGCCCGTCGGCATTTCAGAGCTCAGTTGGTTTAGACCGCGGCGCTTAAGGCGTACCAGACACGTCGCACACATGTGGGCTGATTGAGCACAGCGCAGGAAAAGACGGAAAGGACCCCTCTGGAGGTCCAGGCGACGGCCCTCTGGGGCCAGCGGCCCCCAAGTCGGCGAGGCCCGCGGGCCCGCGGGCCAGTGGGGCGCGGCTTGGGGTGGTGGAGCTGGTCGGGGTGGGGGAAGGAGGCCAGCGGGCTCGGCTTGAGAGACTTACCCCCAGGTTCCCATACAAGATCGGGTACATTGTGAAATCGCCTCGCGGCGTCGACTGCGAGGACCGACGAGGTCCCACGAGTGAGGGGGCCGTGAAAGGCGATGATGAGTGGAGGTGAGGGGGAGTGGTTGGTGGGGAGTGGGAGGACTAGGAGAGGATTCGATGAGAGGGGGAGGAAGGAGGACGAGGAACGGAGAAGAGGCTGGGCGGGCGGAAGGGAAGGAAGAGTAGAGAGCACAGCAAGTCGGATGAGGAGAATAATAAAGTGGCGTATCTAAGAAATGCTCGGAACCTTTCGGCTCTCTGGAGTCCTTGAAGGCTGCAAAAGGGGCCAGGGGTCCCGTGCCCTCTTTGGCTGGACTGGGCCCTCCTCTTTCCTCCGCCATCTCTCACTTCTCCCGCTCTTCCTCATCCTCTTGGAACTATTTGGAACTATTTGGCTAAGCACGGAGGCGTGCTGGAAACATTGGCTTAACCCAGGCCGCGGCTTACCAGCAAAGCCTGAAACTGAGCTGGCACTACTTCGCGCCTTGGGTAAAGCCCTTTCTCTAAACGGGCCACGTTTCCCTTCCCTCCCTGGTCATGGGCTCGCACCTTGACTCGAGATGGCGTCCATCAAGAGGCGCGTGCCAATCGCACTGGGAGTTGGTCTGACGTCGGTGCTTCGTCGTCGAGGGGTACCGATAACCTTGCACAACATGCGCCGTCGTGTGCGTTGTAGCTGCTGTCGCAAAGGCTCAATAAACGTCCAAGTACTTGAGGAAGGGGAGGAGGATAACAGGAGGAGGAGGAGGACGAGGATAACAGGAGGACGAAGAGGAGGAGGCAAGGCAAGGCAAGGCACTGCAAGGCAAGGCAAGGCAAGACCTGGGCAGCTGCTGTCTCTTGCTGTGAAGACCAACGGGTGAGAGCTCTAGCCACGACAAATCGCTGCTGGTAACCTCAACGCACTCTCGGGCAACCCTGCGGAACCACAAAGTCCATGTCGGACCTTCAAGGCCCGCGTTAGCACGAAGGCACACCACACTTCAAGTAGGCTCCAAGACTCGAGGCGCAGGGCACTCGGGCCCATAGCCTTGACCTAGGGCCTGTTGAGCGTTAGGGGAGGTCCCAGGGGGTTCCAAGGCCGCTTGGGAACACGCTCTGAGCAAGAACCGCTGCCGCTGGGCCGCTTCGGGCCCGAACTGACGGTGTCGGTACTCTCCCGTGCTGCTAGCGTGCCTCCACGTCCTCCGCTCCGCCTCCCCCCACTCCGCCCTCACCCCCCCACCACGAGTCCTCTGCTTACTTCCACTACTTGTCTGACCTGTGCCGTGCAGGTCGCAAGGTGCGGACAGCTCCGATCATTCCAACGCAACGGCCTATCAGCAACGAACCATGCCGCACCAAACTCTCTTCACAATCCCCGATCACCCCCCCACCGCGAATCCTCGATTAAACCATGGGACGCTGCTGGCGCTTACTTCCGCTACCTGTCTGACCGTCTGACCTGCTCTGTGCAGGTCGCAAGGTGCGGACAGCTTAGATCATTCGGACGCAGCGACCTACTAGCAACAAAGCGTGCCGCACCACGCTCTCCGTCACTGTCTCCGATCACCTCCACCACGAGTCCTCTATTTCACTGTGAGACACTGCTGTCACTCACTTCTACTACCTGTCTGACATGTGCTGTTCAGGTCGCAAGGTGCGGATGACAGCCAATAGGCTTGAATACTAGTAGCACTGTTTTTCTTATCGCTAATCAGAGCTCTCATGCATGTGCAACCCTCTCCTCATAGCTCTGTGTCAAGATAACTTGGTTTCCGATTTGGTTGTGTGTTGCCAAGCCGCTCCGCTATTTGTTCAGCCGCTGCCGCTTGAGTTGGCGTAGTATCGCTCGGCCCTCTTGCTGTCTCCTGCGGCCAGTCGCTGGAGCCCTCTGATGTCCACGTCGACTTGCAGGAGGAGTACGACGAGGTCCGACGAGGAGGAGGAGGAGGAGGAGGAGGAGGAGGAGGAGGAGGAGGAGGAGGAGGAGGAGGAGGAGGAGGAGGAGGAGGAGGAGGAGGAGGAGGAGAGGAGGAGAGACGCCGCTGGCCGCCGCCGCTGGCGGAGCGGGGCCGCCTGTCCGCCCGCAGCACCTCCTCTTCCGCGAACTCGAGCTCCGCCTGCGGCGGCGGCAGCGGCAAGAGCAAGAGCGGCGGCGGAAGGGGGGGGGGGCGGAGGAGCGGGCGTGAGGCGGAGGAACAGCAGGCAGGAGGCAGGGGGCAGGAGCAGGCGGGAGCAGGAGGATGAAGAGGAGGAGGAGGAGGCGATAGGAGGAGGAGGAGGAGGAGGAGGAGGAGGAGGAGGAGGAGGAGGAGGAGGAGGTGGAGATAGGATGATATAGGCAGAGACAGGAGGATATAGGAGGAGATAAGAGGAGGAGCAGGAGGCGGAGGAGGAGGAGGAAGAGGAGGAGGACGAGGAGGCGGAGGAGGAGGGGGAAGAGGAGGGGATGGGAGGCAGGAGATAGGAGGCATGAGCAGGCAAAAGGAGCAACAGCAGGAAAACGGGGAGACGGAGCAAGAGGAGCAGGGAGCCAGCGCTCGCCGCGCGATGCCAGTCGTCCGCTCAGGAGGACCAGGAGCAGGAACGGTGGTCAAGCTAGCCAGCTCGAGCGCGTCAGCGGGCCCCCCTCCCGCTCCGTACCTCCATCCGGTGGCAGACAGTCGGGGCTATTTGGAGAGGACGCGCGAGAGGACACAAGACCCTTCCGAAAGCCACACTGCCACAAGCATGCAGAAGGCGTGAGTCGCGAAATGCAGGACACAAGGGTTACCCTTGGTTCGGCAAAGTCAGGCTACTAATCAGCCTCGTCATGGTGACCGCGTTCCTGCTGCACCTCGGCGGCCTGAGGGGCCACGGCGGCAGGCTGAAAACTTCCAGAGTGTCGTTCGACGTTGAGGCCGCGGAGTGGCCAGCTTCATCCATCAGCACAAACGCCACCGTGGCGACAGGTCAGCACGACGAGGAAGACAGTGCACTTCCCGGCCTCTGGCGACGACGAAGGGCAGAGCGCAGTCGCAAGGACTGGCGCGCGCTGACCACTCGTCGAAAGGGAGGCGGTCGCGCGCACGCGTGCGCGCGACCCCGTTTTCGGCGACTCGGCGAAGGAAGAGCATGGACCGTGCCGAGGCGCGAGCGCCACCTTTGCCCAGACCCCCAACGTCTCGAGGAACTCAAGACGAAGGTTTTTCGCAGTTTTCGGCCTCTGGGGGGACTCGCCGAGCCCCGGGACCGTCGTTAAACGACTCGGGGTGTAAAGCCGGCCTTGGGGGGAAGGTCCAGGCCTCGGGGGACGCCGTCTTGAGAAACTAACGACGTCGGATGTCTAGTTTGGCGGCGTGCAGAGGGGGGTAGGGGGGAGGGGCATGCTTTCGAGAAGCAGCCTCCACCTAAGAATGCTTCCCCCCTCCCCCTGCCCCCCTTCAGTGCGCGGCCGAACCTTGGGGGATGCCATGGAAACCCGCATGAAAGCAGCGCTCCGCCCGTTCGCGCAGGGCCCAACTTAAAATAGAACTGGCGATCAAACAACATGCGGCTCGCCCACAGGCGGGCAAGCAACCTGCAGAAACGATCTTTCGGCCCCTCCGGCGCGGACTCAATCCCACGATCTGGTGAACAAGATACACGTTCACCGCGGCCATGCAGGAGCTCAGTTTGAAGGGGAAGATGCGCGGCGAATGGGCATCGTAGCAGTAGTAGTGGTGATAAGAATCAGAATCGCGGTGGTTGCGGTGGTAATCGTAATCGTGGTCGTAATCAACGTGGTAGTAGTAGTACTAGTAGTACTAGTAGTAATAGTAGTAGTAGTAGTAGTAGTAGTAGTAGTAGTAGTAGTAGTAGTAGTAGTAGTAGTAGTAATAATAGTAGTCGCAGTAGTAGTAGTAGTAGTAGTAGTAGCAGCAGTAGTAGTAGTAGTCGTAGTAGTAGTAGTAGTAGTAGTAGTAGTAGTAGTAGTCGTAGTAGTAGTAGTAGTA